GGGGTGGTGGTGCCCTGTGAGCGCTGCAGCGTTCTTGTTACCGGTGCCTGGTGTTCGTTCGTGCCCCTGCTTCCCAAGACCCTCCATCTGCGTGTTTATCGTACCCGCTTCTATTCTATGCGCACCTCGGCTCTACCCAACAACGCGTCGGTTTCCTCAGAACAAGAGGCCCTGAGTGACAGGCAGCTGACGCGCCAGAGGAAGGAAGGGGTTAAGTGAGGGGGGAATATAGTGATGCTACATCATGGTTACTAGAAGGGAGGCTGGAAAAGTGGGCTAAGAACCTCATGAAGTTCAGCAAGAACAAGTGCAATGTCTTGCAGCTGAGTAAGCACAATCCCAACGTGCAGCAAAACCTGGGATCTACCCAGCTGGGGATCAGCTGCGTGGAAAGGGAGTTGCGGTCCTGGTGGACAGGCAGCTCGATGAGCGAACAGTGTGCTGCAAAGAAAGCCAACAGGATGCTGCGTTAGATCAACAAGGGCAGCACCGGTAGAGATTAAAATGTCATCCCACTCTACTCAGTGCTGGTCAGGCCAAACCTGGCACACTGCAGTTTTGGCCCCCACTAGGCAAAAAAAATATGGACAGGCTGGGGGGGGGCCAGAGAAAGGCCACAAAGATGATCCAAACACTGGGAAGCCTGGAAGGAAAGGCTGAGAGAACTGGGTTTGTTCAGCCTTGATAAAAGGCAGCTTACAGGAGACTTTTATCACCATGCTCCCAGTATTAAAAGGGTGGCTACAAAGACGATTGAGACCCTCTCTTTACAAGGAGGTATAATGGGCAAAGTTACTCCTGGGGAGATTCCAGCTGGACACTAGAGGAAAATTTGTCACAATGAGAACAATCAGTCATTGGAATATTCTCCCCAGGGAAATGGTGGACTCCTTAATGTTGGACATTTTTAAGATTCGGCTGGACACGGAGCTGGGACATCTTGTCTAGGTCATGCTCTGGAAAGGTTGTACCAGATGATCCTTAAGGTCCCTTCCAACCCAGTATTCTATGATTCTATGAAGGTAGAAAACTCCCACCCATGTGTTGGGAAGTAGAGCAATTCTAATTCAATGCCCAGAAACAAGACAATGGAAATAACTCTGCCTTTTCAGCTTTTTGAAATAACACTCTATAGAAATAAAGAATCTGATGAACACTGTTTAATTAAGTACTGTAGCCATAGCCACATTACATATCAGAACATGAATTCAGTATTCCCACTGCATAAAGTTCCACATCCATACTTTCTAGAACAAAGAAGGGAAAAGATTTGATAGTCTTTAGTGCTTACATGATTTCCAAGATACAAAATATTAGTGAAAACAGTAGTATCCTTTCTGTGTACTGTGAAGGTAGTGCTTACTGCTTTTAGCAAGAGATGGGATTATAAAAAGTATCTGAACATTGGGGGAAGGGAAAAATCTACAAACAAAGTGTTTCACAGAATTAATGCTTCCAAACAGTACTTGAACAAATCCCTAAAGGTTTCATTTTGCCCTGAAGGACATTTGAAGCAGAAGTGTAACTTGAGAGATAGATCGATAGATATATATCTATCTACTGCCATATATATATGGCAGTTAACTACACATACATGTGGAAATCCACCTTTTGAAAACAAATAGCATTTATAGTGTTTGATTCCCTTATATACAGGCACAAACCCTGCTAGCTTCTCTTTCGCTTTCTACAGGGCTCAATGAGACTGTGCAATACTGGAGCAGTAGTCTAAAATATCCTGTATAGTGAATTCCATAGTAATTCCTGATCCAGGATAGCAGCGAGCTATCAGCCCTTCAAAGTGCTTGTATTGCCGTATAAACTCATCTTGCATGGAATGCCACACAACCTGCCAAAGAAAGCAAACAAAATGTCAGCTGGCACAATACACTCTGTGAACTACAAAACATTGGCTCATTAATTCTCAGTTCAGGTGTCATTTTAAAAGTAAAGCTCGCTAACACCAAAGTTCAGTAAACTGAGCTGCTACATTAGGGAAAAAAAAAAAAGTTTCCCTATCAAGTTTAAGATCTTTAATGTTTACATAGCTTCTACCAAATTTGCAAAGCAGAAATGGTAAAGATGAGGAAGTTGCACTAAAAGAGGTATTGTCTTTAAAGAAAACAGCCCAAACCAGAACAGTGCTACTAGTTCAGGTTTCAGACTTTAAAAAGCTGTTAATACAAGCTCAACTCTTCAATCTACTTACCATTTACTACAGTGAGAAAGATTGGAGATGAAGAAAAAATTTAGATAATGTAACTATCAGAAAAAGATGTGAATGACAGTATATTCTGCCCCACTGTACCAGCCAAATCTCCTATCAGGTTAACAGTGCATTTAAATAGAGTTCTCTCTGCTTCCAGTATTTTTTTTTTTTCAGAACAGAGATCACCCATTAATGGTCAGCTACAGAATCATAAAAGAAGTTTCTTTCTGAACTCTACCAACACAGTTCAAATCAATGTTACAACAAATAGATTCAGAGTTGTATTATCAAAAACTCTGTTAAAAATTCATGTTTTTTCAGTTATGCTGAAGCTAAGCACTCCTCAGAATACATATGCAAAAGCAGTAATAAAAAGTCTTTGCGTAAACAAAGGTTTTTAAAAACAAGGTTTTTAAGCCATGTTTTAGTTTACCTGAAGTAAGTTTTCTTCTTCACAGAGATGCTTATCTACTTTCTTGTAGAGATTATCCAATCCCTTCTTCACCTCCTTACCAGGATATTCCTTTATAACTTTACGAAGCTCTTGTTTATTAAAAGCCAGTTGATAACTTACTTCCTCTTCTCGTATACCTTGTGCCACACGAGCTTCAACACCTTCAAAAAAATGCTAACAAACAATAACAGCATTAGTGATTATCACAGTCTGAACTAATTAATTTGACAAGCATATGCATAGTTAAGTCTGGATTCTGCTTGACAACTGTTGTAGGTTCCAGTGATTTTTGGTTTTTAATTGGGCGTGTAGTGCTCAGCCATAAACATTAAAGCGCAGCCCAACAATACAGCACTCCACAAGTACTAGCATAAAACCAAAATTAATAATTTCTTAAACCAATCAAGCTTTTCTTTGCAACCTTGTAACTAATACTGAATCAGACTCAAAATCCTCAATTAATCAGGCTATAGCCTGGGAAAATAGCAGATCCTTTGGATAAACTGAGTAAGCACCTGAATATGAATTTCTCAGCAGCATTTGTTTGTAATTGCCCTCTCTTCTCACTGCCCCTATTGGCAGTGAGAACCTGTTGGCTCAACATAACAAAAACGGAGGGAAGTGTGTCTATGAACACACATGTAGAGCCACAACTTCATTTGAAACACTGCAACTGTTTGAAACAGTGCAACCGTTTCAAATGGTCTGGTTGGAACTGGGTTCGCTTTCTTAATAGCAGCCCACATGGTGCTGTCTTTTGGATTTGTGGCTAAACCAGGGCTGGTAATGCACCAGTGTTTTTTGGTTACTGCTGAACAGGTCAAACCTGGCCAAAGGGTATTCCGTAGCATGTAACATCACGCTCAGCTGTAAAAACTAGGGTTAGAGGAAGGGACGGGGTGGTGTTTGTCTTCAAAAGGGGTTGTTGTTCAGAAACTGGTTGGGCATCGGTCTGCTTGTGGGAGGTAGTGAATGACTGCCTTTGTACCATTTATTTAGTATTTTCCCTCCTCTCTCGACCTCCACTGCTTAAACTGTTTTTATCTCCATGTCCAAGTTTTCTCACTTTTGCTCTTCCTATTCTCTCCCCTGTCCTGCTTGGGGAGAGGGGAGCAAGCAAGCAGTTCATTAAATGGCAGCTTAGGTGTTGATCAGAGTCAACCCACAAGTGGGAAGCAGCAAGAAGGCATTTCAATTTTCAGAAAATGAAAAAGCAGTGAACAGTGGGAAAAGTTCGGTGGGCAGAACTACATCTGATCCTAAGTCAGCATTCAGTTTAATGCTTAGTTCAGCTTCAGACATACCAGACTTCTCCAAAACTTTTCTTATTGTTGAACAGTTCAAAAACTACAGTAATTTTCTCTGCAGTTGAAGTGAGGAAATTTATCCCAAAGCTCCCAATTACTCTTCTCCTCACTTTTTCCTTCCTCTAAACCACTTGCTAAAGACACAACACTAAGGTTTTGTCACTTCTATTAACTGCCATGAAAAAATTGGCTATTGTCATCCAAGACTGTTACCCTCACGAATACTCTTGCCAGGCATGCTTGAGTCTAAAATAACAGAGATCATGATAGTGATAGAGAGATCAGATGGTGCAAACTAAACACTTGAGAAAGACTACCCTGTACCATGTAAATGTATATAAACTCAAGCATACTTACATTTAATTTCTCAAGAGGCTGTCCGAGTGAGTAGATTACATAGGACTGAAGATGATCAGTGTACTTCTGTTTGGCTTCTTTTTTCTCAGCCTCAAGGCAAGAAATTTTCAAGCGAGAAAGTGTTGCAAAAATATGATGGAAGTTCTCCATCATGACCACATCTCTGGGTGTTTTCTGACTTTCATTGGCTACTTTCTCAACTGAAAGAAAAAGGAAGCAAAATAGTTAAAATACCAAGAGGACAACACTTACTATAGGTGGAAGTGCTTTAAAGTTTGCAGGTAAATCAGCACAGGTAAATAGTCTGTCCATCCATGTCCCACCATTTTAAAAAGGAAGGAAGATTTTTCCAGAGGTCATTGGCTTGCATATATCTGCCCCTCTTCTCCCCCCACCTCCCACCTTTTTTTTTTTCAATGCTAAATAAAACCAGTAGAACAAGGGTGTTGCTATTTTTCAGACTATAGCTGGGAAAATAGGAAGGACTGGAGAGACCTTCTGCTGTGTCAAGCTAGGACACGAAGGACTTAACCTGCCAAGAAAAGGTCATATTCATAGCTAGAATTCAAGTGTTGTGAAGATGAATGGTATTAGATGAAGATGCATGGGCCAAATGCCAGGGTTCCCATCCAGATTCATCTCCTCGTTTAAGCTACACTTGGGGAGAAAAGACAAGAAACCACTTCAGATTGAGTGTGCCATGTTGCTGTCATTTCATCTCTCCTCCACTTTCCCCTGTCATAATGTAAAGTTACTTTACATGTGTGTACAAAGGAAAATATCTACAGTTTGCTCTTAAAAAGCATATTATGATTAAAAGGTTTATATGTGTTCTCCTACCAATAACAGAGATGATAAAAATTTCAGCACAGTATCAGTCACGTGGCTTGCAACAGAAAGTCTTAAAAAGAAAAACCTGTTACTTGGAGCAAAATTATATACAAATTGGAGGAAGCAATCACTTTAGTAACTATGACAACCTCAAAAGACCTACCACTGACAAAAACAGCTCTAATAAGTTTTATGTAAGCTTTATCGAGATCTCCTCGTCGTTCTGCATTTTTGAAAATTGATTCAGCGAGGGCTGCAAATTCTTCAAATTCAGCAACAAATGGAAGGATCCCAACTTTACTCTTCTTTGAGATTTTTACTTCATCCATCTGCTTCATTTGATTGCTCTTAAATTTAAAAGAGGAACAGATGTTAGACTCTAATATGACTCCAGACTATGTAACAACCAGTAAAAGAAAAATGCAGGCACATTGAAAAACTGACACTTGCTCAAACACAGAAATAATTTTATCTTTCGATTAGTACATCTACTCAGTCTTTCTCCTTTTACCCTCAAAAATTTGTTAAGAAATAAAATAATTGGAAAGCAAAAAGGAAGATGGGCAAGTAAAATCTTCCACCTTTTCTTCTCCTTTATCTAAATAAAAAAATAAGAAACCAAAATTCCTAAACTTATCCTTCAGAAGCAATTAACTATTTTCATTCTGTAATCTAACAAGGAACTTTGATTGTCTGATTCAGCCCAGCTAACAATTCCTTCTGCTACAAGAACTTTCTTTAATCTTCTACTGAAATAAAATTTCAGTACAATACAAATGAGCATCTAAATATTTTAAGCATTAAACTGATCAAGAAATGTCAGTCTTACTGTGGTGGCCTAGAGTGAACTTACATTTAAAACAATACAAAAAAACCCCCACCAACTTATATCAGCAACTATGTTTTCACTAAACTTGCCGTATTTCATACAATGGTCCTACTGTATTAGCAAAAGGAAGTTTCTCACAGTGGAAGCTGCCTCTGCTACTGCCAAAAGATTTGCCCTTTTATATAAGCCAAGTTTTTGTTAGAGGTTAGATAGAAGTAACTGAACACATGGAAGAGATGTCTATTTGGCACATTATGCTCAAAGGGGAAAGCAAAATCCTCCTAAGTCTGTGAGGAAAGTAAAAAGGCATAGACCTGTAGTTTATTTGACTGACTTCAGTAATCTCAGTAAAAGCCCAAGTCTAAACGAACAACTAAAATTGTCAGCTACCTCATGGCAGTGAATGAGTGGTCATATTTGTTACAAATAGCTAATTATTTAAGAAAACTGGAATGGAGAGGAAGAAAAAATACAACATCCATTAGTTTATCTTTTTTGACGGTTTGGCCAGTAGAAGAGTGATAAAGTTACTCATTTTCACTTCAACTAAAAGCAAAAATTTAGTTATAAGTGAAGACAAAAATCAAACTGAGTAGAAGTGGGTTTCCTATAATATTACAGTTAGCTCAATCAGTATAACTAAAGGACTTACAATGCATTTATCAAAGTTCCTTTTGACAGTCACCAAAACATTTCCAAGTGTTGTGCTGAGAAAGGAAGCTGGGTCCACATTTTGTGCTGTCCATACATGATGACTCATCTTAACCAACATATAAAGGGAATTAAAGCTATCGATCTTGTCCCCCAGCGCTATAAGATTATTCAGCTCAGGTTCAATACATCGAAATATCTTTGTCATCATTTGTCGGATCATGTCCTTCCTATTAAAAATGCGTAAGATAAAAATATTACTCTGATAGTTTATGAGGCTCTGTTACATTCTTTGATAACATTCTGAGGATACATTTATTGGATATAGTAATCTCATTTGCATTCAACAAGTCTCATAGTTTTCAGAATACTGCTAAAGGAGAAAATGCCAATGCCACACAGTAAAAAATGAATAATCACAGGTATAAAATATTACAAAAAAGGTTTTCTGTGTGGAAGCTGCCACACACTCAAATTCACAACTTTGCTAAGCATATTTTCCAAAGCACATTTTACATATTACACTGCATAGTTTCTCTTTGCAAACAGTTAGAGAATTAAGTGTCTTTTTTATACGACTACAGACAGAAACATCCATCCTATATGCAACTTTTTAAATTTACTGACACATTCAGTGTCTGGGTACAAATTAAGAGTTCATTATTAACTTTCACTAGAAGGGAACAATTTCTGATTATAGAGAAAAAGGTCTTATGCGCCGAATAAATTCACATGTAGGCTCAAGAACCACTAATAAACTGCAGCAGCACATACTCAGATGATACTGTTTGTGGAACACCAGAAGTGTATGAACGAGATAAAGTTCCTCCATCCATTTCCTCTGCTTCGTTCTGTAAGAACAAGGAATGTATATAAAGGAAACTGAAAGTTTGTCTCCAATTCTATATTTAAGTGATAAGTGCATCTGACAAAATCAACATAATTATCAGCCCCCATTCCACAAGTAGCAGTTACAGGGGTTTGCAAGGTTCTGGTAGTTTTATGGTCATGTTCTACCAAATCCAACAATTACTACCCATTGCATTCCTACATGGCATGATGAAGTGTTTACTGTGATTTTAGGAGGAGACAAAGCAATGGCAAAATAAACACGTCAGTCCTTCTTTAATAAATTTTGTACTAGTCAGCCAAATTAAAGATTCTGCCAGCCAATGGAGAAAACCAAACTATTGATCACCTGGATCCAGTAATTGCCATATAAACTCAAAAGTTCTTTTAAACAGGTCTCTTATGAGGCCTGATGGATTGTTCTGTCACTGAAGTAAAAAGTAAGAGTCATACCGTTGTTGTTCCCGAGATGCTCTGATGTTGCTGTAGTTTGAAAAATTTACTAATGAAGTCCTGTTCTGCCAGACACAGAGGCTCCAGTTCACTTAATACTTGTTCAAAAATCTAAAGAAAGCCAAATATTTTTATGAACACACCAAATAATATGAACAGTTAGTAATACTAATTTTAACTGTTTGTTGCCTAAGACTTTATACTTTCTATCTTCAGTAAGCTTTAGAAGACTCATTTCTACTTAACAGAAACGGAAACAGCTTGTACTCGTATCTGCATCTTCAACATAGTCCCATCTCATCCATATCACACTGGGGAAGAAAAGAACAATCTACGTTTTTCCACAGCTAGAAGTTTTCTAGCCACAGCCTGAGGCAGGACTTCTGTGCTATAATGAAAACATTCACATTTTAATAGTAAATCATGAGCTCTGCTACCCTCTTTTCTGCCTGGGTTGCCAAGAGGAAGAAAACAAAATAAAAAGCCTCAGGGAAGAAAAACAGGTAAACTGTGTATGTAAGAAGAAACTGTTCAGTAGAAAAAGTTTCCATGTATCTCTGCTACAGAAATCAACAGCAGGTTTTCCACTGAAATAGAAGCATTCGTCCCTATTTTTAGATTTAATCTGAAATGAAGCATTATTTTGGCAAGAATTCACTAAAATAATTGAAGTTTATTAATACAAACTACTGAAATTGTAAGTCAGGTGTTAGACATACTTCTAATCCATCATCTTTACACAACACAGAATTTACTGCACAAGTATCTATAGTCACAGTCATGTGTTCTCTATGGGTGTGAGATAAAAGTCAGAAGTTGAAAAAATTAGCACAATACCTTTACTTGTATACCGTTGTTTTTAAAAAAAGCTACCATTTGAATTCTAGATAAGTTGCTGCTACAGATGTGTAATAACTTAACAGTTAATATTGTTTCATACAATATTTCCTCCCAGAAGAAGATTGAGCAAAGGGCCATGCTCAAGTCCCGGCTAAGAGAAGATTATGCTTTCTTATCTTTCACTTTTGCTTACATACTGGCAAAATGCAAAAGAACACATGAAGCACTGTATTGAGAAAAATAAAATCAATTGGAGAATCCATCAGTTCAATTCCTATCTGCTTAAAAATATGTATTTGGCTTAAAATTATCAGACCATATTGTATGCTTTAAAGATTACACGCAGCATATAAAATAACTAACTGGAATGTTATAATGGAAGAATAATACTCTGATCTACATATTTCTTAGAAACTGCCTTTTTTAGATGCGTGGTGCATATAGAATATGAAATTTACATGTTTTAAGATTTAAACAGTATAGACTTTTATACAAGAAGGACAGGCAAGATGCTCCTGTCTTGGTGAAATGCCTAGCTCCCTACTTTGCACTAACTAGGATAAAAGAATAGAAATACCTTGACTTGGCGTGTGAATTGGCACTATGCACCGGGTAACGAGCCCGCATATAGGACACCACTTCTAATACAAAACCTGACAGGAATCCTATGCAACATTTTGTCTTACCTTATCAAATTTTGTTCTATCAGCCACATCAAGGTCAGAGGCAGACATGTTTCCCATATCCAGCAGTGAGGATGACTGAGACCTACGGTTTCCCGAACTCTGAACAGAAAGTTTATTTAGGCTGGAAGTAGACCCAGTCAGTTTTCCAGAACTTCCATGAAGACCTGTGAAATAGACACTATGAAGGAGGCAAGCAAAGGCAGGATAAAATATTCAAGAACAGTTTCATTACTGATGTCCTAGAATGTAGGAGATCAAGAGTTGCTAGTAGTCCTACATTAAAATCAAACAACTCAATTTTTGTCTAAGCTGCAAATGCTTTTGCTGTAAACACATTCTTTTCTCCTTACAAGGTAACTGAAATACCTCAGCAAATTTCAGAGTACAATGTACCTACATAAGCTCTCATTGTAAAGCATGGAAAAAGGTATAAAAGGAACAAAGCTGTGAAATCCAGGAACACTAGGATAGATATTCTCCTTGAAAACTTGAAAGCAAAGACCTGTTACGATCTTTGTGAATGTACTTTGGGCAAAGGCTGCCACAAGCAGAAGAATTAATTCACAGGACTGAAAACATTAAATATCTTTATATACACACAGATACTTTTTCGTCTTTCTGCTGTTAACATCTTTATGTCTACATGGTTTGCTCCAGCTATTTTGCTGGACCTACAATCCTATAGTAACCCTTCTGTTAATGTTCTCCCCTCCTTTTGATCATGATTAACATACAGACATTTCTTCCTGATATTTTGGGGCCTTCTCCTAGGTGAGGAGCATATTTTTTTATTTTTAATTTTTTCCCAATTTTTCAGAAGTGTTAGAACAAGATGGAGAAAGCTAGTAACAAAAAAGACCAAGAAATCATCAATATTTCAACCCTTATGTAAACTTTCTGCATCTCAATCATAAAGAAGCTTAAAAACAACCCTGCAAGTTTCATTTAACTGCTATGTTGGTGTCTAATCTGGAGACACAAGACAAAGTCTATAGATTTAATAAAAGTTGTTACCTCAACCTATTGGAAGAGTTAGAAAACTAGGACAAGCTCTTAGGCACATATTTTTTATATCAACTAGCAGTGTGGGAAAACCAAAAGATACTGCCTTAACCTGCAAACCTCCTCAACTTCTACATCAGGCCATTTTAGCCAAACTTCATTTTTGCGTTGCAAAACCAATGATTCTGCTAATGCTTATTTCATTCTGAATGGAGTGCTTCAGTGTTAGGTAGATTTTCCACAATGCAGCACTACATCTTTACATAAACACACATGCATTGACAATACCAACTAATGCAACTAGTTATACTCACTCTCAGTTTCCTGTTTGACAGCACTTTCTTTTCGAGGCAGTGTAGCTGGGATGGATTAGGTTGCAAGCATCAAAGACAAAGACAAGTTAAAATGCAGTTTGCACAAACCATGCACAAGATGCAAGTTAAGCTCTAACTGGAAAGAAACATGCAGAGAACTATAAGCAGCAAGTAACTACATTGCAAACACATTTAGTTGGAGAGGTACTATTCTAGAAATTCAGTGTCTAAGCTACATGGAAAACAAAGTAAGCTTCTAGGTATTAAACTTTGCTTTTTCTTATATAGTATGTTCAAAGAACATTTTTGGTAACATGTTTAAGTTTTCCCAAATTGAGAAGTCCATTAAATTAGGGTTCTGTCTGTTAGAGTTAATACTTCAAAAGACTCAGTTTCCAACTATCAACCATCATATTGATAATGGACATGAAATTAAGAGGTACTTATGTAATCGTGTACTGAGTCAGAGGTATTGGCCACCTCTTCAATTTAAAAAACACACACCAATACTGCAAAATCATTTGTATTGACAGTAAGACGGGCTAACTTTTTCTGTGGTTCACAAATCAGGATGTTTACATAAAGAATACATCTTTTGTATTCATGCTGCACCAAAAATTGATGACTTCAAATTTGAAGAGGATGAAAATAACAAATACATAGGAAACAAAATTTACAAGGTGGTTTTTCATTTTTCCTGTTTTTTGCAGAATAAAACAGTTTCCTCAAGTGGACTTCAATGTGAAATTTAGGGTAAATGGGCATTTGTAGTAAAAGGAGAATCCCTAACCAGTAAAAGGCACTTGCATACATACACTAAAAGCAGTACGTGGTATTAAGAAGATACTGATGAAGATGGATGCTACAAGCCGCCCAAAATGGAGCAGGCAAGCAGAACCTACTGTAATAGAACGAGTAAATACTTCCAAATGCCACAAACATGTCTTAAATACCAGATGTTCTCAAGTAGGCAACACTACTGACAGTTATAATGTCCAACTGCAAAAAATTGCAGCCTGTTTTTTACATCTTGGAGGTTTTGGCAGTTTTTGAATAAAAAGGTTTAGGCCTGATCTATTTGGCATATGCATCTGTCATGCATTGGTCCCACTTCTTCATCGTCCTCAATTTCCAAATGCACGGGACTGTATTAGAGAATGTGAAGAACTGCAGGCAAAGATCAGGCCCTGAACAATTGGGGAAGCCACAGTGGCTTTCAAGAAACCACATCACATAAAAATATGACAGTAGTAGTACTCTTTAACATTGATTTTTATGGTATTTAAGTATCAAAGTCTTGGCTTCATCAGAAAAGAAGAAAGAAAAAAAAAATACTACTTAAGACAAGTGTGAATGCTCACGACTCAGATTTATTTTTTTTTTTGCCATAAAAATGCAGACAAAGAACCTTGCGGTAGCACAGAATGCCAGAATTCTCCCAGCATTCCCTCTGCGTTTAAGGCATTCAAATAGCAGTGCTATTCCCAAAGCACAAAAAAAAGGCAAGAACACACACCAACACAGCTTGGAAACAGGTCATCTTTAGTGTCTGAGTACAACCGGAGCATTATGCACCTACGCTATTCCTTAAGTAAGTTTACTATTAAGAAGTGATGTATTTTGAATTAATGAGCAACTAGTAATAGTACAACCACTACCTTCAACATAGAAGCCTTTGAAATTACACACCATTATAAGCTGTTACAAAATAGATACATTTACACAAACACACAACAGAAGCCTTCTCAACGTGCAGCTCTTATGCTGGTGCACTGAAGGATATTTCACCAAAATGCCTGATCACTCCCTAACATTTACAAAAGTTAGGAAATTGGCACAAAAGCTGTCTCCTCACAAATGCAGATCACAAAAGAAGTGCGAAGATAACGTGTTTAGAATGTTTTAGAAACCAATTTCTATTAGGATAAAGTGTGCGGGGGGGGGGGGGGTGTTCCTGAAATAAGACAACTTTTCCAGATTCATGAATTTATCTGCTCTGACAATGACACATTATGGCACCACTTGCTGTCCAACAGCTTGCCAAGATATCTTTCCAGCTTCCCCTCCCTCAATCAAGCCTCACCACTCTCTTGCTTTCTTCCTTTCATTTCTTTTTTCTGTTCTCTACCATCAAATCTCGAAGCATAAATTCAGGACCCAAAACAGGCTTGATAGAACTCGCTAGTTAAAGCTGCACATCATTTCTGAATTTAGAATTTGGAAACTGGTGAACTGTGGCAAATACAAGTATTTTAAACATGTTTTGAAATGGAGCAGTTTAAAATATAGAATAGCCAATACATAAATGCATCTTCAACAGTGTTGCTATCTAAGTATTTGAATTAATTTTTTAAAAGCTTCATTACCGTTCTTACATTAGACTATTTAATCCTAACAGGAATACATACTCCCTTAAACAGAAAGGCCTACAAGTTAAAGAAGTATGATTTCTGGTCTCAGACTACACAGGTAATTCCCACTGAAAATACAATGAAATCAGCAGGTTTCCTTAGGCAGAATTAGCATTAAAACTAGCTTCTTCAAAATCCACTCAAACCTTGTTAAAAGCAGAAACGACAGCAGAACCAACACACACATGTGGTGCCCAAGAGCTGATTTTTTAAATTTGTTCTAGTAATAAAGGAGGATAGTTCAAGTAATAAAATACAGCTGGTAGTTTGTTAAAAAGTGAGTGTAGATTTGAAATCTGACAAATGTCGTATTTTATCCCTCTGTCTTGACCAATGTCACAGATTTCAGTTGTGCTACTTCGGCCTTGTGGAAGTCAGAAGTTTACCATGATGTTTTTTATCCAACTTCTTCTACCTTACCAAAAGTTAACAATTTTACATCACCATAAAATTGGCTCTAGGTGTTGTAGTGAGTTATTTTATAATCAAATAGTAAGATCCAAAGCAAGATATGTGCCTTCTGGAAGCTTACCAAACTTTTTTCCTTCTCTAGTTGTGCCCGTCATCTTGATCTTGGCAACTTCAAAGAAATCTTTTATTTCTCTTTCATAAAGGCGTGATAAATAATCCATATAATTCTTAAAAGAAAAATGTAAAGCAGTTAAAAGTTACACATACTGACTTTGTTATCTTACAATTAAACAGTTCTTAGAAACCAGCAAGTACTAAGTTCTACTAAAACCAAAGTGTTTTGGACTCTTTCTGTATTTATGTAGCATACGCAAAAATATATCAATGATATTTAAGCAAGTTATATTCAATCTCCTAGTGAGTTTGCTGAGCATCAGAAACTACTACTTTTCCTCCATAAGGAAAGATATGCAGTGTGGTACATACAAATAGGATTACTAGTAGCAGAGGATCATGTTCAAGGGTAGAACAGAGATTTCAGTGTTCTTTGTAGCCTCTTTTACTATACTCCTACTATGGCCAAAAGAAGCAAACAGGATGCCAGTCCTACACATCTTCCTGAGCACATGACTCCTTATTACTGTTTTGTTTGCAACATTGCCAAAAAGAAGCTCAAATTTTAAAAGGACAACCGAAATAAGTTTGAAAATTATCTGGTTGGTTTAGATTTTTAGAACAAAGTTACAGAAATATTTTTTTTTAAATCAAAGATCACCCAAGAATATTTTTCCTATGTTTTCAAAATTTTGTTACTTAGCAGACATAATACATAAATATGTAATTCCCTCAATTTTTTATTATAACAAAAACATCAGCCATTCATTAATTATTTGCCTTACACTGAAGGTAAAAAAACAACTATTTCAAAGCCATTTTAAGAGTCTAATTTAAATCTTCTACAGCTGACTTTTAAGAATGACAATACTTTAATAAAAAAAGGTTACTTGGTCTGTAAGGACTAACTTTCCCTTGGCTTCTATCTAAACATTTTCTGTACTTCTGTAGTAATTTTTTCACTCCATGTCAGTTTTCAACAAGATAGGTAAAAGTTATATATGTAAACACACAAAGCCAAAGTGTTTCTATTTCATCTATTTACAAAAGACCTCTGAAGCTTTTGATATTTCCAAGTGAAATGAAGGTCTGTTGAAATAAAGATGTCACACAGGCAATAAGCACATCAAGACGAAATAGCAAGTGCTTTTCTTACTAGACTGTAAAATGGCAAACTTGTTTTACATTAAAATTAATCTCTTATGATACTTCAAAACAGAGACATAGAATCTCGAAGGAAAAAAAATACAAGGATATAACAAATACCAATAAAAAAGGTGAAGTTTCCTACTCCAGAGAGGACAAAGAAAAGAGGAGCAGTGAATTAAATTTAGTATAAGGGAATATTAAAGGATACACACATACACACAGGCAATTCTTTTGACCCTCAAAAAAACTATATTACATACATTCTCTAGCATCACTTGAGCCCTTCACATACCTTTGTTAGCCCTTCGTATTTTCCATAATCTGTGTTCTTAAGCCACTCCATCAGCTTAGCATATCGAAGTAAATCTCTGTGAAACGGATGGTGATTGGGTAGTGTCAATTCAACAGAGTGCTGGGCAAGAGTAGAACTCTGATCATGACCCTTAATAAAAGAAAGCATTAAAGTAAATCTAGAAGCACTGCACAGATGTACTAGAAGTTTCCTGAAAAACTTATTATGAAAACAGCATCCCATTCAGTCAAACAGAGGAGCACTAAGACACCTTGCATAAAAACAAAGTCTACAGATGCAGACTGGAATGAGACCTAATATAATACAGACACAGAGATATTGCAGCTGTGGCAGGTAGTGCATCTTAGTAAGCTTGTTCGTTGTAAGGCTCTTGTTGTTTACCACTTTGCCTTCAGGGTGAGTCAATTTGGCATTTTTTGCATAAATATGCGAAGCACACCTGAGCGAAGATTTAATAACAAGTGTTCAATTGTTTCTGAAAAATTCTAAGAAATTATGACGATATTTTTCTAAGAAAAAAAAAAACCCACAACCTTAAAGATGTTCCCATACACAGGAAGACATTTCAAGTCCCCAGTAGTCAATGCATGGCCCAAGTGTTAATGATGAGCTTTATGCTACGCCTCTGAAAGTCTACTCCAAGTCAACCTACTTTAGCCAAGCCTTGTCTTAAAGCCTTTGTCTTAAAAACATCAGTTCACACACATTCTCTCCCTCCAAAAAATGTAGGCACACACATGCTTTCAGTGAACATTTCCTAAACAGTTTACAACATGCAGCATAAACCAGTTTATTTAACAGCAAGCTACTAATTTCAAGCTCCTTGTGTTCTCTGGCTCCTGAAAAACACTCTATCCTTTCAAGTAAAGATCACATCATATTGCTTGAACAACACATGATTTAGCTTTTTTAAGCTTTTACTTGCTTGAAATCCCAAGTTTCCTGAGCAATTCTAGAAGTAAGCAAGGTAACATCACAGCTCAGCCACATAGCAGAACACACAGCCACTAGCCCTGGGTTAGTGAAGGGGAGGACGTGACTTATTTCAAAATGGATTTAATGTTGTCTGTAAAGCCTTTTTTACTGGGCTTGTAATAAATACAGCAACAGAACTTGATCTTAGGTATAGTTTGTACTGTGGCAGCACAGTAAGATTGTCCTAATTAGTTCCCAGTTCCTGTAGTATAACATGCAGGTGGTTTATACAGGTCAGTCAGTGTCAGTCCCTGACAGAGGAAGCATTCCTGGGCAGTTCTGTCTTGGATATGACAAGGTGGCAGAATATAAGCTACGCAGTTTAAAAACTGCCTTTGTATATCTAATTTGGAACAGAAGCCAGTTTGGATAGTGGAGTCAAAATTAAAAAAATTGGATAGAGTCAAAATTAAAGCAACGTTGGCTCACCCTTCTCTACTGCAATAGGTACTAATCAGTCTTTGATTAAAAAAGCCCTAAAAGCTTCCAAAATACATTCAGATGTGGTAAACGGCTCAGTGTCCAGTTGGAAAGCA